CCACTACAGCACAAGTTTGATCCCCAGGCAGGGAGGTGACCCACATGGTGAAGCAGACCTCTCCTGGCCTCCCTCACCTCTCCCCTCCACAGTGTATTTCACTACACCTGCCTGTTCTTCTCCCCACTCTCTGGTGAATGCTCTCACCCTGTACCTCTGGCCTGTACCCTAGTTCTTGTGTACATATCACCAAAGCAGAAATAGTTTGAGCAACAAAATAAATAGCAGTGCTAGTTTATAACCCAAGTATAAAATGAATAAGTGTGACTCAGTATTTAATAAATGACTTAATAAGTAAGGGTGAATAGGTATAACTTCCATGCAGAGAAAGAGGTAAAACATAGCTCCCTCCCTCTTAAATAGAAGGTGCACAAGCTGACTCCTTTTCAGAGATAACAGCCTGTAAAGGGAGGAGATACTTGACAAACATAAACTCGGGCATGTGATGAAGCTTAACCTTACTATGATAATCATCAGTAATATTATGTCAGTAGCACATTTCCTTGAAGTTAGAAGAATAGCCCTTTGTCACTATTGGTCTTTTTCCCCAAAAACCTCATAACCTCATAACCTCAGTCTAATTATAAAACCTCAAAAACAAAAACAAAAAAAAACACCAATCTGACAAACTTTCCACAAATCCTACCTTATGCTACAAAATTGTGAAAACAAAAACAAAAAAACCCACCAACCTGACAAACTTTCCACAAATCCTACCTTATGCTACAAAATTGTGAATGAACAAAAACAGAGAAAATCTGAGGAACTGTAGCAGTCTAAAGGAGCCAAAAGAGACACAGTGAATAAATGTAATGTGGCTTCCTGGGTGGAAATCTAGGAGATAGAAAAGAACATTAGGTAAATACTAAAGAAATATGAACTATGAACTTCAGTTAATAATAATCTATCAACATTGGCTTATTAGTTATGATCCAAGTGTCATTCTGAGAACCAAAATTGCATTTTGGGATCCATCTCCATGTTCTGATAGGCTAGAAGCCTTGACATAGACTAGAATAAAAACTGACTGACTCCATTCTATGAAGACTAATGCAGGAAATTTCATCTATCTGTGAGGAAATGAAAGCAATAACTTCTCTACATCTGTTCTGACCAAAACCAATCATAGGAAGAACAAAATAACCACTACCTAAACAAGAATCATGTAAGCAGAGTTAGAATAAAGTTTAACTACCCTGATGTTTTGCTCCTTCAGTGTGTAGTCTACTACCATCTGATTCAGAACAGTTAGGAAATCTGGACACTTCAAAAATCTCCAAATGAAAACTCGTCAAAAATTAATGTACTGATCATTGTGTGGTTTGAAATAAGAAAATTATTATTCCTGTCTTTCCTCCAGTGCATAATCTCACACAAACCTGTAAGAATGGAGCAGTTCTCTCAAAGTAAAATCTAGCAGACTGTTATTGAGCTTGATTCCTTACTTTCATTACCTAATAAATTCTTTGTCTAGTTATTACTTTTACTGGAATTATTTCCATCAAAAATACTAATCTAAAGTTTCCCAAATCACCCCAAAATTACCAGAACTGGTTTCCTCAAGATGCACCCTTGGCATGCAGAGTATTTTAAGCTAAGCACAATGAAACTTACGTACTTTTCCAAATCCTTTGCACCTTCTTAATCAAAGACAAGATCATCATCATTACGAAAAAGGCTTCTGCCTTTTTCATAATCAAAAGTGAAGCCCCTTTTTATGACCTAGGAGAATATAGTTTGGAGGAACTCATCCAGTGTAGGTTTATCAGTGAACATGTCCTTTCTAAGAATCAACTTTTTTCTCAGAATAAGTATTAGGTAACCCTCTTCTTATCTGTAATGTAAAATCTCCACCTCTCTGTCCTTTGACCCATAGGTCCAAAAACACAGTATAAATATGCCTACTCTGTCCCATTATTTCTTAAAATTTGCAACTAATGGGCACAAAGGAAATAACTCTGTGCCCCTTTGAAATCTTCTCAGGTTGAACAAGCAATCAAAGCGTCAGACAGGTCAGCAAAGGAAAAACAATCAATTTAATAGCACACAAATGGAAGCTTTACTTGGTTGTAAATTCTCAAGAATATTGGACTAGACCAGTAGTTTTCTTGCATTTTGATATCTGGGATATTAAGGGCAGAAAGAGAGCTATGACACATGACAAAGGGGAACAACTACTTCATTCTTACTCAGAAAGTAAAGATGAGATTCTTAGACAGGAAGAACATGTTTACTGATAAACCTAAAACTGGTCGAGACTTTCTAAACTATATACTTCTAGGTATCTCTTCTTAAATTAGAAAAGGGCAAAGTGAAGGACGTAGATAAGGACAGAAGATTTTTCTAGCCTTCAAAGTACTCATTGCTCTCAATCCAAAACAGTCTGCATTCACTAAGTCATGCTAATAGATCTCCAGAGACTGATAGGGTCATAATTGACCTCTAGTTCCCATGCTAAGGAAAAAAGAGGCCTACTCTGAGCACACTGAGAAAAACCTATCTGACTCTTATGAGGAAACTGGCAAATTCTCTATATGCCAGTTATTAATTTTTTTTTCCTTTGTTAACCCATCTGGTGCTGTTTACTCTTTTGACTCTTGTTCTGCTCAAGAAGAACCCAGTGGGGTAGAGGATGATTTCTTTTGCATCCCAACAAATTTTAAATTTTAACTGCAGTTCAAACTAAACAAAGGGAAGGGAGAAATAGTTATACTGTCTCTGTAACTTTTCTGTGAATCTAAAACTTCTAATTTCAAACATGTTTAAAATCTTCCAGGTCTGATGGAATCTTTATTTACTAGTCCAAATCCTCTTTAATCTTGCTACTCAAAACGTGGTTACATGGGAATTATTTTAGCAACACAGAATCCCAGAACTATCCTAGATGTATTAGTTAGGGCTCTCTAGGGAAGCAATCAATAGTGTGTGTGTATGTGTATAAAGAGAAACAATAGGTCAGTGGAATATTACTCAGCAACCAAAAAACAATAAACACATGGCTTTTGCAGCAGCATGGATAGAGCTGGAAAAGGTCATGCTTAGTGAAATAAGCCAGAAAGAAAAGGAAAAACACTGGATGGTTTCATTCATAGCAGAAGTATAAAGGATCAAGGAAGAAAATAATAATAATAATGGACAACTATATACCAGAGACATTTTACGGCGGTAGATTGGGAAATGGGATCAAAAATGGTTGGGGGGAAGGAAGTGCACTGGACTATTGTGATAGCACACGGGTGATTTGGTGATAGGAAACCCATGGGGATTACAACTGAGATGGAAAAAGGCAAAAATAAACTATTTTTTAAAAGATAAAAATTACATAAAAGGTAAAAATAAACATATTATTTTTTAAAACTCAAGAAAACAAAAGCTGGAAAAAAAATAGAATCAATAGGGTGTGTGTGTGTGTATAGGGTGAAGTATTATTTAGACCTGGGCTCTGCAATTACAAAGACCAAGAAGTCTAAATCTGCAGTGTGGCCCCACAGCGTGGATATCCAGGAGAGGCAGTGGCAAATCTGAAAGCAGGTAGTTAGTGAATTCCCCTTGTTCAGGGGTGTCCCTCTTTTTGTTCTATTCAGATCTCCCAGTGATTGAATAAGGTGTGCTCACATCATGGAGAGCAATCTGTTTTACCCAGCAATTAAGTTTGCTTCATCCTCCAGGTTTACTGTTAAGCCATACCTGATGAATAGAATCTGCATATTGAAAGGCTCTGTCAGGTGATTTCACATGTCTAAAAGCAGAAGCAAACAAAATTGAGTTTACTAAAGAATCAAAAGTGAAGACTCGAGCCCACGAACAGCTTCCAGATAGAGCTGGGAAAGCTGTCCTAATTCTGAGTTTCTCACTGAAGTTTTACAGTTATTTCAAGGATTTCTGTAAAGGCAAAGAAAACTTGAATGGCTATTGTATCTATGTGATGCTATCTATCTACTGAGGAAAACCAAGAGGACCATTGTTTAACAATGCCCAAATCTTGCAGCTATGTGAACCTGTACTTTGTGGGGTATTCAGTGTTGTATAGCAATGTTATCTCAATGAAATATAATACAACTAAAAAAAAAAACCTTGAATTCTTTCTTTGAAGTTACTGATTGGCCCTCCGTCAACTCTGTTGTGACAGCTTTACAAGACCCTCCAACTGCATCTTGACTTGAGGCTTGTGCTCCTTGGTTGAGATCAGGGAAGGGGTACCCAGTTGTTGGTTTCAGTTTACATATATATATTCAAGTCATAGCAGTACTGTTCTATAATATTCCTCAAGAAGGAAATAATTTCAGAAACAAGGCTTTAGTTGTTTTAACATGAACTATTTTCTAGCATTTACACATCCCGTGGGGAAGGATGCCTTAAGAAATTGCCCCCCTACCCTGGCAGCAAGGTTGCCAGGGTCCCCTTCTGTTCACACAAGGACTTCACCAAACCCTTGTCCCCTAACTCGCAACTCTGCTCTCGCCCCAAGGCAAAGTGGTTCACCTTCCTACTCCCTCTCTCTCAGCAAATGTCAAATTGGTTAAACCTGTGGAGACAAAGCTCCCATACATCGGAGGATATTTAGGTGGAACCATATGAAACTGCCATTGCTGATTTATTTTTGACCTACAAAATCAGCGATTTCATAGGACTCGACAATGTTTCTATTTCAAAAGTTATTTTAGGGACGATGTGCCCTCACGGAGAGATAGTTAACAAGGGCTGCTAATGTTCGTGGCGGTTTACTACTGATACCTGAAAGTCACCTACCCATCCTCCACTTCCTAAATTCAGTCCAAGTCTTTCCTTTAATTACGGGGAATTCAAGTTCCGCTGCCCGCCTCCAGGCTCCCAATCCTGCTATGCCCGGCGCTTTGCAAAGGAGCGCAAATCGGGAAACACCACCCTGAACAATATCTGCGACTTGGGGAGCCGAGAACCGCCGGGCAGCCTAACAAGGGCCGAGCCCGCCCAACGGGTCACAACTTCCAGAGCTCCACTCTCCCCGCCCCCAGCCGCCTGCCCGAACTTAAGATGGCGGCGGGGCGGAGTCGGCAGCCGAGGCACACGTCGTCCCAGGGCGGTGCCAGGCCCGGGGCTGGGGATGTCGGCACCCCAGCTCGGCCTGCCGGCTCGGTCCCCGGGTGTCCGCCGTCCGGCTAGGTCTCTCCTTTCAGCCTGCGTCTCGGAGGCGTCATGAAGTCGCCGGTTCGGGGCCCGACGCTGAGCGACGGCGAGGAGGGCTCAGACAGCACGCCCCTCCTGAAGGGCGCCCCGCGGGCTAAAGCCGGTGAGCAGCGGGGCGGTCTCGGGCACCGGCGGTTGCTAGTCCCCGGCGACGGCGGCTGGAGGATCCGCACCCGGGGCGGAAGGGCCGGGGCCGCTCGAGCGCGAGGCCGCGCGCAGAGAGCTTGTCCCCGCCCTGGTGTGCGGAATCACCGCGGACCCGGGGGCCGGTGTGGACCGTGAAGGTGGGTCGGGCCGGATGCTCCGACCTGACCTCGACAGGTGCAGCCGGGTGGGGCCGGAGCGCGGAGCTGCTGTGCGCCGCGGGCGCTGGGCTCCTGGCGACTTTCCCTAGAAAGGAGCAGGAAGCTCAAGGAGAACCTGCAAATCAATGGCTAAAGGCCGGGTGGACCCTGTGTGAGAGCGAAGTAGAGGAGAAATCTGCAGATCGCTGTGCGAAGTGCGGGCCAGAGCCGCTGGCTCTTGCTGTCACCGCCCGGTACCGCCGCGGCCAGTCCGCCGGCTTAGGATTTGGGCGACGAGTGAAGGGAGACCAAAAAAAAGGGGGGGGGGGATAACATTAGTGCGTGTTCGGAGGGCAATTGTTGCGTAACCCAGCTGATACCTTGAAATTGTTCAGTGAGGACAAAAAGTACCCCATGTCTCCCCCCTACCCATTGCCATTTAAGTTAGGAAACAGTTGTTATCCTCAAGATGGTTATCTGTAGAAATCTAAGGGATTTGCCAAAGGTCTTTGCAATAAATTGATAAAACGAAGTTCACAATCCATCTTCCCTGAATTGGGAGAAATTAAAGTACTTTGCTGCTTTATAATTTTGAAATGCCCCCATTTTTAAGTAATTAAAACTGGTCCTTAACTCGGTTTGCAAGCATTCTGTAGTTTTAAAGATGTGTGCAAGAGAAGCCATAAAAATGGAAATTGACTTTTCCTGATACCTTTTCTTTTTAACATTACCATATGTTGGCAGTAGAGTTGGCAACACAAAACCATTGCGCAGTGGGGAGCTTGATTTAATAGGTGTTCAGTGTAACTACTGTACCAGAATGTTTAATGTACCAGAATGTTTAGTTCCCAAAGCTGACCTTTGTGGCATATGCTGTTAGATTTCTATAATCTTTTAGATAATTTAGTATGGTTTATAGCATCTTTATTCTTGACAGTAAAAATACTGTCAGAAACAAATACTATAATAAATATTCTCCCTAAAGACTGCTAGCTTATTGTAATTGGAAATATATACATAGAAGCAAGTCAGAAAAATACAGAATGAAATGCCAGTGAGCCATTACACAACCATGACATAGCTAACATTTTAAAGGCTGTGGATACAAAATATTGGTAAATATATGGAATAACCAGAACTCTCATACAATGCTAATATGAGTGTAAAATGTTACAACTACTTAGGGAAATTGGAAATTTATTGTACTTAATCATACATTAACATAATACGGCAGAGGTTTATAGCAGTCTTATTCATGGCAGTAAAAAGCTGAAAACCAGCCCTCCATGGTGGTGCAACAAGTTAAGGCACAGCACTATGAATCTAGCAGCAGCCGCTTCAGCACAAGTTTCGTCCCCAGCCAGGGAGGTGACCCACATGGTGTGGCAGACCTCTCCTGTCTCGCCCACTGCTCCCCTCAGCAGTGTACTTTATCAATCTGCCTGTTCTGCTCCCAGTTCGGTCGCTGGTGAATCCTCTCACCGCACCTGTACCTTTGGCCTATGCCCCAGTTCTGTATGTATAAATAAATAATTTTTTTTGAAAAGCTGAAAACTAGATATCCTTCAATAGATGAATGGATCAGCAAATTATGATTTACCTATGTAATAGAATACTACTCAGTGATAAAAACAAGTTATTGATACAGAAACCTGGAAAACTTTCCAAACACACTGGGCAAAAGAAGCCACCTGAGGATGCTGAGCAATAAAGGAGTAGAATATTTAAAAGAAGAAGAAGCTGCCATATTAAAGCTTAACTCCATCAGTATGAAATTTTAAAGGAAGCAGATCTAATCTACAATGACAAAAAGTAGATCACTGGTTACCTGGAAGATGCCAGCAGAAGGGAATTGAATGCAGAGAAGCACTAGGTTACTATTTGGGTGATAGAAAAATTCTACGTCTTACTTGGGGACAGATGTATATACTAGCCAAAATTTTCTAAACTGTTCACCTGAAGTATATGCATATTACACCTACTGTATGCAAACTATATGTAACTCACAACATTGCTTTTAAAAAAATGATGTTGCTTGCTTCATGGATTGGGTATGTAGATCTTAACCCTGTTCTTTCTGACTTGAGGTCATAGCCATTTTCCTAATTTTTATTCTGTACTAGAGAGTAGAAGTGAAGTAGTAATAGCAACACATTTTTTTTTCTTTTTGCTGTTAAAAATACGATAAAAATTTTAGAGAGAATTGCATTAGTCCACTGTATTTTTGAATTAAACTTTGTGTGTGGCGTGCTGTGAGCAGGACGGGAAAGGCGCACTTAGAGAAAAGAGATGAAAAAAGATAGAGACCAGGATCTCAGCTTTACCTTACTTACTCAGTGGTGCCCCCACCCTCTGTCAGACATAGCTTTAGTAATCATACCTACCTTGTTCATTTCCATAGAGGAAACAAGATGATCTTTATTTTTACTTTTTAAGTTATATTCTATATATTCATTTTGCACATTCTAGAAAATATGGAATAGAAAATATATGTAAAAAAATAGAAAATATGTAAAAAAAAAAAAAACCTGTCATGTAGAGTCAGTGTTAAAGATTTTAGATTCTGAAGGAATGGTTGACAGTCATTAAAACTTTTATGTTTATATACATTTTTTTTTAAAAGATTTATTTATTTATTCATATGGAACTAGGGTACAGGCCAGAAATGTGGAGGGTGAGAGGATTCACCAGAGACAGAGAGAGGAGCAGAGCAGGCAGATCGACGAAGTACACTGCTGAGGGGAGCAGCGGGCGGGTCAGGAGAGGTCTGCCTCGCCATGTGGTCACCTCCGGGGCAGGCGGGAATCGAACTCATGCGGAAGTGGCTTTAGCTTCTCAGTGCTGTGCTTTAACCCGCTGCGCCACCAGGGAGGGCCTGTTTATATACATTTTAACTTTTGTTTCTGGAATAATTTTGAAATTAGCTATAACTGATCTATATCTAAGTGTGTGATTTGTTTTTTTAAAAAGAAGTCAAATGTTTAACTTTGTACAAAGACCTTTGAAACCAGCTATAAACTAGCAACACATCATTTTATACCTAGGCAACTGAAGCCCAGACAGGTTAAGTAAAGCCTGAAACTCAGTTTTCCTGGATTTTATGTAAAGCTCCTAACCTATACCAAACAAAATTCAAATTCTAACAAGAGACATGAGAAAGATTTAGCCAGTAGGCAATGTTCTTTAAATATGCCAATGTGCATTTTGTGCTTCTTATAATTGTGCAAATTGTTGCTTTAATTTGTCCCTAAGGTCCATGACATCGCATCTAAGGTTATTGCGGAACACACCATGAAATTGTCTTTGTACTTTTTCCCAGGAGAAAGTTGTGTTAAGGAATAGGAGTTACATAGAAAGGTATCACAACCATACTAGTGTGGAGTCCAGAGGGCTTCTGATGGTCACCAACCCAGGATACAGCAACCTCAAGGGCATCAAGTCTTGACCTGGCATTCCAGAGGACTGTGCAGTTGATGGGAAGGAATCGATTCTCTTTTTGATTCATCTAGGCGGCATCCTGGGTTGTGGCTGGGTCACTAATAGCAGGAATTCTCAAATAGGATTGGTCCTTCTTTGATGCCAACTCATGATAGGGGTTTATGCTTTTGCTGGAACCCAAAGTGGCCTTGTAGGTGATACAACAGAAACATACCTTTCCCCCAATATTAATGGTGCTAAGGTCCCAGCCAAGTTAGTCCTTGCAGTAGGTGGCGGTACAAGACCAACGGCCAGGTTCTGCTGGGATAAAGAGTTGTTTTACTGACATGAGGCCAGAAGAATTAGGAATGAAATGTTGCTCAAAATCTGTTAGGGCAAAACAAATGCAATTTAAGTTCAAAGTAAATAAAGCTGGGGCTCTTCCTGGTGGTGCAATGTGTTAAAAGCACCGCACCATGAAGCTCTCTGAAGCCACTGCAGCATGAGTTCAATCCCCCGCCAGGGAGCTGACCCACATGGCACTGCAGCCCTCTCCTGACCCACCCGCTGCTCCCCTCAGCAGTGTACTTCATTGATCTGCTTGCTCAGTGCCCCACTCTGTCGCTGGTGAATCTTCTCACCCACCACACCTCTGGCGTGTAGCCCAGTTCTATAAGCATAAATAAATAAATATTTAAAAAAAAAAAGTAAATAGGGCCTTCCCTGGTGGTGCAGCGGGTTAAAGCACAGCACTGAGAATCTAAAGCCGCTTCTGCATGAGTTCGATCCCCGCCTGCCCCGGAGGTGACCACATGGTGTGACAGACCTCTCCTGACCCACCCGCTGCTCCCCTCAGCAGTGACCTTCGTCGATCTGCCTGTTCTGCTCCCCACTCTGTCTCTGGTGAAGCCTCTCACTGCCCCTGAGCCTCTGGCCTGTACCCCAGTTCTGTATACACAAATAAATAAATCTTTAAAAAAAAAAAAAAGTAAATAAAGCTTTGTGTATTTGTCCTATGAGGGTCCTACATTTCCCCTTTTTTGTTTTAAAAGCTGTGATTTAAGGATTTCTCGTTTCTGAGTAACTTCCCTCTGTTTTTTATAATTGACTGGCTTAACGATTATCTTTTGTCTGCCCTGAAGGAGGCAGGTAATCATTTGGTCCATGTTTTTATGAGTAAAATCCTGGGAGTCATTTTAAGACAAAAACTTTACTATTTTAGAATTTTTTATATTAGATTGTCATAGAATTAACAAATTTACAAATTTTTATTAGTTAATTACTCAGAGTGACAAGAATTTCTAAGAATAGGTCTATTTCCTTGACAAGGTTCAGCAATACTGATAGGATAAGAGTTGTTTTTCAGGTATCCTGAGGGTAACAGAGCAACAAGATTTTTAGA